CTGCAGCAGTGCGCCACCGGGCCGGCCTGAGGCATCAGTTTTGAGACCCAGGAAATGAATATGATATGCACCTGAGGTGCATTTCCCATCTGACGGGACTGCAAAGATCCAGTGAGATGACAACGTATGGGAAAGAACTGTGTATTCCACCAAAATACAAATGAAAAGTGCTATTATTCACACTAAAAGACAAAATAGGTTGACCCTCCTTTCCTTACTTTTGCTTTTTCCTGCCGAACTTCTTTGGCCAAGGTCTTTAACATCTTCAGCTGTTCCTGCAGGTCAGGAGGTAAGGTCTTTTTCACTATGGAAAAGGGAGGCCTTACTGTCAGAGGGGTTAGATTTCTAGTGGGTTCCCAATCTCCATTTCCAGCCCCCACAACTAGGAAGCTACCCCAGAGAACAACAGGACATATTGCTTTATCTGGCTTCTCCTGGTGACTGGGGGAGTGGAGGTAGGAAGAGAAAATTGTCCTTAGCCCATAAAAAACCCACCTAATGCTTGATATCCCAAGGGACTTTGGGACAACTGGCCTATTTCCATCCACCTCTAAAATCTGAATTACTCTCTGGGCCTAGGGCTGTAAATGGACAAATGGTAATTTTAATTCTTCGACATTCTCTCTCCCCACCCACCACCTTATGCTACCATGCTGTAGGAACCCAGCGTTTCCCAGCTGCCATCCAGAGGGTCTGACAAAGCCCTAAGAGCCTGCCTCATTCCTCTCCTGAGGCTCTTTCAATCCTACTGGTTTAGTTCCATCCTTTGCCCACCTATTCACTTGGACACTCAGGGCTATGGGCAAACCCAGAATGACTAAGAATGGACATCCTATTTTCAGGGACTCAGGAAGAAGTCTGGTAGCCAGGAGTTGAGGCCAGGGGGAGCAAAGGATGAAATCAACTTAGAACTAAGACAATGGTCTCTTCTCCATCGACAGGTGACACCCACCCATCAGAGTGAGCAGGTACTGTATCTTCTCCAAATCAGTCTGCCCAGCTTTCTCCTCATTCAGAGCCCTCATGTTATCCTTTAGCTCCACGTAGAGGCCGATGAGCTCTCCCATCAGACGAAATGTTTCCACGGCCATAGGGAAGCTAGGAGCCACTTTATCCAGTGAATCGTGTCGCTCACTCTGGACCTCACTCCTTTCTGGTGAGACTTGATGGAGATGGCTAAGGGACTCTGGGCTCCTGAGAAAGGTGACATCTTCGCCTGAGGCAGCCTGGGAAGGAGTTCCAGTTTGGGTTGAGGCACGTATTCTATTTAGATCCAAACCTTCCTGGTCATGCTGATCAACACCTAGTTGCCCGGGACCACCATAGCCAGGATACACTGGGCCATGGTAGTCTGAGTATGCATGGCCATGTTGACCTGCACCTGCGTATACCTGGTCATGCTGATCTGGGCCAGGTGACACCAAATGCTGTTGATCTGGGTGTGCAGATCCCAAGACTGTTCTTAATGGTCTTGGGCCACGCTGGTCTGTGCCAAGGTGCATCAAACCTTGCTGATATATCTCTGGTGGTACCAAACCTTGACTGGCTAGGAGTGGTGACACCTGGCCATGTTGCTCTCTGCCAGGAGGTACCACACCATGCTGATGTGGGCGTGGAGGTATAAAACTCCGAGGACCTGCCTGGAATGTTGGAGGGACATGAAACTGTGTGTCTGGTGCTATCAAGTCTTGCTGATCTGCACCAAGTTGTCTCAACCCGTGCTGATCCATTCCAGGCTGCAATAAACCACGTGGATATACACCAGGTTGAACCAAACCACGAGGATAGAAACCTCGTTGCACCAAACCACGCTGATCTGCACCGCGTTGTACCAAACCAGGTGGATATGCACCAGGTTGCACCAAACCAGGCAGGTAGGCACTGGGCTGAACCAAACCAGGAGGATATGCACCAGATTGAACCAAGCGATGTGGATCTGCACCAGGTTGCACCAAACCTCGCTGATCTGCACCAGGTTGCACCAAACCATGCTGATCTGCACCAGCTTGCACCAAACCATGCTCATCTGTGCCAGGTTGCATGAAACCACGCTGATCCCTAGTAGGTTGCACCAAACCATGCTCATCCACTTTAGGTTGCACCAAACCACTCTGATCCACTCCAGATTGCACCAAGCCACGCTCATCAGCGCCAGGTTGCACCAAGCCACGCTGATTCATTCTAGGATGCACCAAGGCACGCTGATCCATTCTAGGTTGCACCAAGCCACGCTGATCCATTCTAGGTTGCACCAAGCCACGCTGATCCACTCCAGGTTGCACCAAGCCACGCTCATCAGCGCCAGGTTGCACCAAGCCACGCTGATCCATTCTAGGTTGCACCAAGCCACGCTGATCCACTCCAGGTTGCACCAAGCCATGCTGATCTATTCTAGGTTGCACCAAACCACGCTGATCTACTCCAGGTTGTACCAAGCCACGCTCATCAGCGCCAGGTTGCACCAAGCCACGCTGATCCATTCTAGGGTGCACCAAGCCACGCTGATCCATTCTAGGTTGCACCAAGCCACGCTGATCCACTCCAGGTTGCACCAAGCCACGCTGATCCATTCTAGGTTGCACCAAGCCACGCTGATCCACTCCAGGTTGCACCAAGCCACGCTGATCCATTCTAGGTTGCGCCAAGCCACGCTGATCCACTCCTGGTTGCACCAAGCCACGCTGATCCATTCTAGGTTGCACCAAACCACGCTGATCCACGCCAGATTGCACCAAACCATGCTCATCAGCACCAGGTTGCACCATACCACTCTGATCTATTCTAGGTTGCACCAAACCATGCTGATCCACTCTAGGTTGCACCAAACCACTCTGATCCATGCCAGGTTGCACCAAACCACGCTGATCCATTCTAGGTTGCACCAAACCATGCTGATCCACGCCAGATTGCACCAAACCATGCTCATCAGCGCCAGGTTGCACCATACCACTCTGATCTATTCTAGGTTGCACCAAACCACGCTGATCCACGCCAGATTGCACCAAACCATGCTCATCAGCGCCAGGCTGATCCACTCTAGGTTGCACCAAACGACTCTGATCCACGCCAGGTTGCACCAAACCACGCTGATCCATGCCAGGTTGCACCAAACCACGCTGATCCGTGCCAGGTTGCACCAAACCACGCTGATCGATGCCAGGTTGCACCAAACCATGCCGATCTATTCTAGGTTGCACCAAACCACGCTGATCAATGCCAGGTTGCACCAAACCACGCTGATCCATGCCAGGTGTCACCAAACCACGCTGATCCATGCCAGGTTGCACCATACCACTCTGATCTATTCTAGGTTGCACCAAACCATGCTGATCCACTCTAGGTTGCACCAAACCACTCTGATCCACGCCAGGTTGCACCAAACCACGCTGATCCATGCCAGGTTGCACCAAACCACGCGGATCGATACCAGGTTGCACCAAACCACACTGATCCATGCCAGGTTGCACCAAACCACGCTGATCCATGCCAGGTTGCACCAAACCACGCCGATCTATTCTAGGTTGCACCAAACCACGCTGATCCA